TCTTGTTCCAGGCGATTCTTCTCCATCGCCTTCGCCATCGCAAACTGTCGGGAAGACTCATCTTCCATCCGCTTCGCCATGGCTTCTTGCTGCGCATGGAACTGCGCCAGCTGTTCGTACGTCATTTGGTTGAAATGACTTGACGTCATCGCCGCTCGCTCCACGCTTTGCATCCGTAGCTCGTCCATCTCCGCTTGGTTCGGCGGAGGCAATGGCACGGCCACCACGGTCTCCATAGACCGCGTTCGCGTCACACGAGCCAGGTTGCTTGTAAACGGCAGACTTCCTTGTTCCATACTCGTACGGCAAGTAGCAGGCTGCTAATAAAGAATTCTTTGTTGCGTCTCAACTTGACGGACCTTGCGAAGTCCGATCCAAAGGCAAATCACAAACTGAATTCCCCCCAGTGGCAAGTAGACACTGGGGCTTAACCCTAACCTAATCAGACAGCTGCTGGGCAGCCAATAATCTAACTAGCGAATAGGATCACACCCAGGATATCCAACCTAATCGAACACTTGGATACCTTCTTGGGAGGGGTTCAGGGGTTCTGCGAATGGCAAATTCGCAACACCCCTGTATTGCGACTTCTGGACTTTAACCCATGCGTAGACTATCAATCAAATTTTGTGTATCGGTTCATTTTCAAGCGCATGTAAGCGTAGACGCGATTATAGGTCGCAACCGCACTAGTACCAGCAACAGAGTGCTACTCCGGATGCGGCTTTCTAAGCGATATTCCCTGCTAGTAGTTCATTCACTGACTTGTTGGCATGCTTTTCCCTCAACTACTTTTATCCAGGCGATTCTGCTGCTTGGTGTCGTGCATCCATGCGAATAGAGTTCAATCGCTGTTTGGCAACCGGTGTGAAATATGATGAAAAACGCTAAGGGCTGGTCTGGATGCCACCTCATAAAATTATGCTATAAACCGTTTTGGCAAGTCTTCAAATTTTCCCTAAGTCTGATATCCCATGAAAAAAGGAGAAAAGAAGTACTTCGAAGTATCTCCAAAGTTGTCTGGATACCAGCTGAATTTTTAAAAAATTATATTGGATTTCCGATTGAAGTGCAAGACTTCAACGTGAACACAAACCTCCATAAAAAACTTGGACCAAATCGGTCCATTTTTTTAATGCCATAAAACACTCGATTCTCAAGAAAATTGTGGCATAAAGTAATGAACTTTGGTGGCATCCAGACGTACAAAATCTTGAAAAATGGAATATTTCGATTTTGCCAACTTTTCTTGGGAAAACGGTCATTTTATGCCATTTTTCGTGGCATGCTGCATCTGGTTTTAGAGTTTTGGGTTTACCGTCAGGGGTGCGGATGCTCTTAGGGCATCCCCACCGGTAAGACTGTGTAATCAGACTGTAAAATATTTTACAGTTCCGTCAACCCAGCGGTAAAATATAAAATCCGCATAACTCTGATATCCGAAAATGAACCCGGAGGCATAAGTTTGCTTTGGACGACGGTGACGACGTGGAATTCACTGCGAGATCCTTCACCACCTTCCCGCCTAGTGTCAAGAGTAGGCCGCCATTCCAACCTGCACCTGGATAGTCAGGCTGAAGATGCTCGACTGTGTAGGCACTGACTATTTCAGTCTCACAGTCAATTTACAGACTGGGGAGCAAAGCTCACCCACGCTTTAGTTGGTCAAGGTCGTTATACTATAGATATATGGACTCACCATGGACGATGCGGTTGAGAATGACAACTGTTCGAAGCAACGGATTGATGGAAGTGAGGAAAATCGGTCATTCATACCTGAGAACTTGTGTCATTGCTTAGCGAAGGTTATGCATTGGTTGGGCTGCCGATGCACACGATGAGTTTTGTAAAGTACGAGCGCGTTTGAAGGATCCATGTGCTCAAAGGAAAGTGATTATTGGCTTTCCATCAACTACATGACACCGATGATTGGACAAAACTTTTTAATTGATATTATGTTATTGGTTAATTCGTCAAAACTGTATTTTACAGTCCAAACCGTAAATCTGGCCAATTTGCAGTCTCGCGGTAAAATTATAAAGTTTCCTGTATTTTACAGTCGCCTGGTGGTGTTTGTCAAAACTGTAAATATTCCGGATAGAAGTGTAAAACAACGTTTACAGTCGCATGCTCTTAGTCTAAGATGACCAACCGGCAAATACGTATCTCGAGCTGTAATTTTTAGTGTATCTCTAACGTTAGCTTAATTTTGCGCTCCAAGCTCTTAGGGAACATGGTGCTTGAAGAATTAGTCAAAACAACGGACCGAATCTCAAGTCGCAGACGTGGCCGAATGGGCGGACTCAGGATAGCCTGTTGTGGCTTCCATTATCGACGCGAGTTGGACTCGGCGGCCGTGGTCTACATGGTGGACTAGCCTCGTCGTCATCTTGCAACGTGTCAGCCGCTGCTCAAATAGTCGCTACTTTGCCGAAGAAGTTGCAGGGAGTGTGATTGCTGAGTAGATGGCGGAGAGCTTCCTTCGGACGACGCTGCGATGAGTTCACGATCACAGTCAGCATCCATGAGCTGCACGCCATAGAACATATTATGTACTCTATGTTTGGGCGGCTCGTAAGATTGTTTTGTCAGTGTTTGGTCATTTTGGCTGAAATTTTGAGGTTTTGTTCATAATGGTGGCAGGGGTTTGTGCCCAAAATCCTAGCCCCAACCGATTATTAATAGCCGCGCAATTCAATCCTGAATAATTTGAATCTGTAACGTGTTTTTGTAATAATACTCCGTAATGTGGTGTTTATATTGCAATCCTCATCGAGTTTGATGATTGACAGTGAATGCACTCGAAGATTGAAAATAATTATTCTATTATAATATAGCCAATCATAGCTGATTTTCATTACTTCAACAACTGGAATCGTTACCGTTACATAATGCAATAGTTGCTTGTTGATTGGATGTTCAAAGAACGAGGGGAAGCCATGCAAGGCCTACCGAAAATGTATTGGTGTAATGGTGGACAACATCCAATCACATTTGAATGAATAAATACAGCTTGATGATTGGCGGAATTAAAATACTTCCCGCCAGTTTCAATATCGACGAAGCTCCAAGCGTTGGGAATGCTGGAAACCATGTCCGACTACAAGATGTCCGCAGCACTGGACGTTCCGCGACGCAAGTTACGCAATTAGATGTCCTAAAGACGCGAGATTCTAGCCTACGACGGTAACTTGAAAAATATGAAGCTTGAGCCTGGTGGAAGATACGGGGCCTTTCTAGACCCGCCAGAACTCGTCGAGTTCATAAACCATATCCGCGACAACGAGCGCGCCCTTACGACTACGCATCCCATCCTGTGCATCAAGGCCAACCAGCGTGAGTGGTTGAACAACTACCTCGCCACCAAGCAACAGTTGACGTCGTATGACTCTCTCCTCCGCCTGCTCCAGCGCTTCTGCGATCATCACAGTTTCTCCCGCCAGCGTCCCACCAAGAACAAGGTTAAGCAAGCCGATCTTGCTGAGGTGCAATGCCACTTCAACGCGGAGTTCCACCGCGAGTACATTGCGTACGCAAGGAGTGCGTGTTCAACGTTGATGAAACTGGCATATATTATGATATGCCGCCGCGCTACATTTGGGCAGTACGAGGCGGAAGCTCCAAAATCTTGCCATTCGCTTTGCATGACGGCGGTCCTCATGGTACGAGCTGATAGCACCAAGCTACTCATCCTCTTCATCATGAAGGGGGTGCCTGGTGTTCGCATAGACAGCGGCGAGCTCAGCATGTTCCCTCCCTGCCATCACTACGCGGTTCAGGAGCGTGCATGGAAATAGGACAAACGCGTAAGGGCCACGTACCTTCGTGATGTCCTCGGCGAAGCGGTCGAGGAGCCGTCAGTCGTACTGCTGGACAACTTCGAGTCGGGTGAGTCGTACAATATCAACGAGGAGGTACGAGCCCACCTGTGTTTGTTGCCACCGAACGCGACGTCCGTGTGTCAACCACTTGACGTTGGGGTGATAGGCGCCGTTTAAGCGCAACCGTCTTAAATTGTGGCTGCTCGAAGACATCATTGTTGGTGATGATGATGACTCATTTTCGCTTACCTCGCGACAAAAGCATATGGCATTGGTGAAGCGGTCGATCGCAGCATGGGACCTTGTGTCGAGCCAAGAGATTCGCCGCAGTTTCGAGAAAGCTCTCCCTCACTGAAGGATGTCCAATAATTTCAGCGTTAATTAAATTTCCACTGAAATAGTTATTTGTAACAGGATTTAGATTAATGTAAAATAATTGGAAAACGTTTGACACTGCCCGGAAATTGAACTCAGGCCCCTTCCACTATCACTTTGATGCCGTCGCCCTTAACCATTAAGCTACCGCGTCAAACGCTTACGCTTGGACTGGAATCATCCATCCATTCATATATTTTGTGTAGGACACCTTCGTAAACCGATTACCTGGTTCTTTACATCCCATATTGTTTTCGTTTGCAGCCATATCGGTGGGGAAATCATACTACACAATATAATTACCTGTAATAAAATGAATTGACGTCAGTCAGCGTAAATAAAAATTTCAAAATTGCGCACTGATTGGCTCAAAACGAAACGTACATCGAAGTTAGCAATCCAATTAAATGATCCAATTCACGTAGGACTCGAAGACAAAGTAGGCCTTGCATTCCGTCGTTCCCTGTACAGTAGTACCGATGCGTTTGTCCGATGTCTCCATATGATCGAAATAGTTCACAGTGGTCGAACGCATCGAGCGACCTTCCGGATAATCTATCAAATTTCAGGACCTTCAACCTCTGGAGTGCTTATGCAAAGTACAATATTCATTTTGAGAAGAATTAACTATTACAGGCATTACACATCACCATCGTAGTCGGCAAAATCGCAGTCGTCGCAACTGTCGGCGTCACTTTCACTTTCGCTCTCGGACGAGAATGCGGCCCCAGCGGCATCATCGGCATCGTCGACGGCATTCAGGTAGGCTGCCATTTCTACCACTTTGCGATCCGTATGGTTGATGCAATCGAAAACCACGCTACTCGGTAGGCCGGCGAATTCACGATCCAGCCGCTGGCGAACGTCCGGGAACTTGGTCGAGGTATTGTACTGCCACCCAACAGCCCCTTTGACATACGCCCAAACCATCTCAATAGGTTGCAGGTCAGAATGGTACGGTGGCGTGAAGACCACCTCATGGCCGCGGTCCTTGGCCAACTGCACGACCACAGGTACGATGTTCGCTGCAATATGGGTCTTCAGCTTAGCCCAAAGCGTCGATCGGAACTCCTTCACGTCAATTTCGATTCCATAGGCTTCGCAAGCCTCCGC